AAAAAAAAAAAAAAAAAAACACAGCATCACATAATATCCTGAGTCAAATAAAAAAATAAATAAAGAAGGACACACACACACAAAAAATCCCAAAAAGGCCTGGCCCTGTGGCTCACGTCTTAATCACAGCACTTTGGGGGGCCGAGGCAGGTGAATCACCCGAGGTCAGGAGTTTGAGACCAGTCTGACTTACATGGAGAAACCCCGTCTCTACTAAAAAATACAAAATTAGCTGAGTGTGGTGGCGCATGCCTGTAATCTCAGCTACTCGGGAGGCTGAGGCAGGAGAATCGCCTGAACCTCAGAGGCAGAGGTTGCGGTGAGTCGAGACCGTGCCACTGCACTCCAGCATGGGCAACAAGAGCAAAACTGTCTCAAAAAAAAAAAAGAAAGAAAAAGGAAATGGTTAAAAGACATTGGTTATAGGTAAGTGGTAATATATAATTAAACAAGATAATGTATGTCTCTGTCTGATTGCTAGGGAACAAAAACAACAAAACAAAAATAAAAAGATAACGAGTAAAACGCCAAATTAGCTAGTACTGGTATTTTTATTTATTTATTTTTTTTTGAGACGGAGTTTCACTCTTGTTACCCAGGCTGGAGTGCAATGGCGCGATCTCGGCTCACCGCAACCTCCGCCTCCTGGGTTCAGGCAATTCTCCTGCCTCAACCTCCTGAGTAGCTGAGATTACAGGCACGCGCCACCATGCCCAGCTAATGTTTTGTATTTTTAGTAGAGATGGGGTTTCACCATGTTGACCAGGATGGTCTTGATCTCTTGACCTCGTGATCTACCCACCTCCGCCTCCCAAAGTGCTGGGATTACAGGCTTGAGCCACCGTGCCCGGCCGTAGTACTGGTATTAAGAATGAATATTTAGGGCCAGGCATGGTGGCTCACGCCTGTAGTCCTAGTACTCTGGGAGGCCGAGACAGGCATATCATGTGAGGTCAGGAGTTCGAGAGCAGCCTGGCCAATATGGCAAAGCCTGTCTCTTTTTTAACGGAATATATTGCCATTAAAAAGAATGTGCTGATATGAAACTATCTCTAAGAGACAAGAAGTGGAAACACTAAGGGTCACGGCTTGTTTAAATTTTTTATTTAAAAAAAGAATGAATATTTAAATTGTATGAAAAATTTAAATAACCCATAATCCCAACATGTTCTAGTTTTTTCTTTTTTTTCTCTCTTAGTCTAAGGTGGCTATAATGCTTTCCTTTCACACTTAAGACCAAGATGGCATAGTCTTGGCAGTTTGGGAACCACAGGGAACAAAGCCACAGGTCCATTACCCGCCGCCGTCTCTCCTCTGCCAATTTTTGCTGTTGCACCTCTTCCTCCTTCCGCCGCTTACGCTCCCGCTCCTCCCGTTTCTTTCTTTCTTTTTCCTGATCGGCCCTGAGAGAGGCCAGGTAGGCCTCATCCTGCTGTTGTCTCAGCACCTGGGTCTGGTTTCTTTCTTCCCTGTGAACAGATTGAAAGCAAGAAAAGAAAAACAGCACTCTCACAAAGTTCTGTTTTCTTATATTGAAATTCTCTCTCTCACTCTCTCTCTCTGTGTGTGTGTGTAAAAATGTTGATATTCTTAGCAGATGACTATAAGAAAGAAAAAAAAAAGAATGAAGGAGAGGAAGAAAGAGAAAGAGGAAGAGGGAGAGAGAACTGGGGTGTTGTTTTATTGCCTGGGCTAGAATGAAGTCTAAAAATGGGTATGCCTATAATTGTGCTTAATAATAGAGACATGAAAAAAAAAATGAGGGAAGAAAATAACAAACAAGCAGCCAACCAATATTTCATTGAAACCTGTGGATAGATGTGATGTGGTACTGTTAAGAGTGTATATTTTGTGTATTTAAAGTGGAGAATTCTATAAATGTTAATTAAGTTTACTTGTTCCGGATCTGAGTTCAAATCCTGGATATC